CCCCAGGGAGCCATCCTGTCCCAAAAAAAAAAAAAAACCAACAAAACCCCCAAAGCAGATGACTCCTAAGGAATAACACCAGAGGTTGTCACCAGAGGTTGACTCCTGGCCTCCACATGCACATGTGCGCACACACACACACACACACACACACACACACACACACACACTCTAACCCCGCCCGGCTAAAAAAAAAAAAAAAAACATTTTTGTGGGGGCTGAAGATACAGTAAATGGTAGAGCTTTTGCCCAGCACGCTTAAGGCCCCTGGTTCAATCTCTAGTACTACACGAATGCGTGTTTGCGCGCACACACACACAGATCCATACACACATACACATACTCCTTTGGGTCACTGAGTTTCAAGGACCCCAGGTACAGCTCATATTGGATTTAACTGCCAAGTGAGTCATGTTTAAAATAAATACATCCAAATGTATATTCCCAGAACTAGTTCTATATGATGACAACTTTGCAAGTTTGAGGGAGGTATCACTCCCTAGGTCTTCTATAAGAAGTAATATAAGTATTATAAGAAGTAATATAAATTATTACTTCTGGATAAGAAGTAACAATAAATACAGCCATGGTAACAGACCTCCCACAAGCTGCCATGCTGTAAGCACTTTTCAGGAATCACATCATTTCCCAGCATACCATTACAGAGGGCCTGCTGGAGGCTATCTAATGCAGGCACCTGATCCTCCTCAGTAGCCAAGATGAGTCTGCCCAAGCACCCCTGTCCCCAGGGGTGGCTCACGCACCTCTGCAGCAGCGGCTCCAGCCACCCTTCATGGCATTCACAGTGACAGTCCAGGAAGGTCAGCACATCACCCCTGGCTACAGAGGCTCCCAGCAGCCGGGCCCGAACCAGGCCTTCCCTCTTGCCGGCACGGAGCAGGCGCACCTTGGGCAGCCTCGACAGCTCGTTGGCCAGACGCTCCTTCAGGTGCTCTGGGGACACAAGCAAAGCAGGAGAGTCACTGCCACACATCCTTGGCAGGGCACCTCATCTCAGATGGTTCGTATCATAGTCTCCTTTGCTTCAAGGACCAAGGCCGGGGCCCGAACCAGGCCTTCCCTCTTGCCGGCACGGAGCAGGCGCACCTTGGGCAGCCTCGACAGCTCGTTGGCCAGACGCTCCTTCAGGTGCTCTGGGGACACAAGCAAAGCAGGAGAGTCACTGCCACACATCCTTGGCAGGGCACCTCATCTCAGATGGTTCGTATCATAGTCTCCTTTGCTTCAAGGACCAAGGCCGGGCTGAAAGAAATTGGTCTGCTCCTCAGCAAACAGACACAATCAATCAGTCTTTTTTTTAAAAATTTTTACTTATTATTATTTTTTAATTTATATAATAACCACAAGGAGATTTTTATTACAAGACCACTGACATAGTCAATAACAGTTTACAGAGCAAAGACACATCTCTTTCAAAATTGGCTGTAATTTTTAGGTTCACAGTGTTGAATTAATACAGTTACT